TAGTTATAACGAGTATTTCGGTACATTGCCACACCTGCAAATCGATTAAAATCAGTAATATGCCTAGATATCATGCCTATAGGGAACTCTACTCGCAATTTTGTCTGTTAATCTAATTTAGTCTAATTAGTCTCCTTGATCACGCCTCGTTCATTTCTGAATTGGTTTTATTAAGTATTAAGTATTTCCTGAGACAAGTTCTTTTAAACTACCTCAATCTCATTAGATATCATACCTATAGGTATTAAAGAAGCCTATTTCAAAATCTGTTTGTTTCTGTATTAAATAAACGTCAGTACTTCGTGTGTAAGCAAGCCTTTAGGGTGTTTCCAAAATTGCATTCTCTGAAACTATCTCTATCGCTTAACGTTTCTGACCCTAACATGCTTTTAAAAGAGTCCCTAGGCAACTGCTAGAGTATAATTTCTGAGTCTAAAAAAGGTTTGCTTGTTTATGCATATTCATTTAGATATCCTTCTTTAGGACATTGTCTAATAAAAGACCTTAACTGCGCTTGAGTCGTGCTGCTTATGTGCTTATTTGAGGAGGAAACTCTGAGCCTCTTAATTGCTCCCATATGTGTGAAATTCCTAAGTGCTTTTGACTATCGCCTTAGAGTTTTTGCCTTTTAAAAACCTTAGGGGTACGTCCAGAACCACCTATAGGTAGAGGTCATAACTCCCTCCAGGACCATTAAGGAGGTATGGGTAGCAGCACGCAATAGGAATCATTGACCAAACACTCGCTTTGCATGACCAATAAGGGGATGAGAAGGGTAGACATGAGATATGATGACTACACGCTAATGTCACCTGTAGCCCCTCATTGAGGAGTGTTTACGGACATTCCGTGGGGTGATCCTATAAGATAACCAACCTAGGACCCCTCCTTGCCAAAACCTTTGTTTTACAACTTGTTCAAACCTTTATCTTGCTACTTGAGTTATCCAACGTGTTTTACTTGCAACTTATTTGATTCAACTGTTTATATAGACTAATTTGTGAATATAAGTTCGGCCGGGACCCATAGTTATGGACCAAGAGGGGTGCCTAACACCTTCCCCTCGAGGTTACTTCGAGCCCTTACCCTAATCTCTGGTAATGCAAACCAACCCAAGAGTTAATTACTCTAGGTGCCCTAACGCACCATAATCCGTTAGGTGGCGACTCTTTAAATACCCAATTCCCAAAAGGAAATGAGTTATTACACCCCGTGAATGTCGAAACCCGGACCTCTTCACCGTCAAAAAAGGGAGGGAAAAGGGGGCGCGACAGTCAATTTATCTATTGATCTCAATCTCGACATGGTATCAGAGCACAGCTTGATTCTCACATCAACACTTGTTTCTCCTCATCAAGTTTCATCATTTAATTCCAGCTTTTCAATTTTACAAAATCAAAATATGCACTTCACAGTTCATTGCTAGGGTTTAAACTTTTTTGATTCTTCTCTCCATATTTAGAGCTTACTACAACTAATTTTCTAAGATTTGTCTTCAATCGATGGACGGAGACAAGGAAAATTAGGATGCGACCAATAATTTGGACTCGACCAATCCGCTGTACATGCACTCGTCGGAGAGTGCCGGAACAACTTTGGTACCTATTACATTTGATGGAACTGGGTACAGATCTTGGAGAAGAGGAGTTCTCAGAGCACTATCCGTAGAAAACAAGGCTGGATTCATAACCAAAAAATGTAAGAAACCTAATCCTGATGATGCCACTTATGATCAGTGGGCTCGATGCGATGATATGGTAACACCGTGGATTCTAAAATCACTTTCAAAGGACTTAGCTGATAGTCTACAATATGTCAGTGATGCTAAGGAATTATGGCAAGAGCTGGAAGATATATACGATTAAACTAATGGAGTAACATTGTATCAATTACAGAAGGAAATTAACGACCTTAGCCAGGGAGCTTTGGATATCACAGGCTATTACACAAACATGAAAAGGCTTTGGGAGGAATTGAATACACTGAATGCACACGCACAATGCAATTGTCAGTGTACCTGTGGTGCAAAGGCCAATATGCACAAGGCTGAGCAAGACCGGAGGCTAATTCAGTTCCTGATGCGCTTAAATGAAGTCTACACAGTGGTGAGAGGCAACATAGTCATGATGAATCCATTGCCCAACATAGCAAAAACCTTTTCCATTCTTATTCAAGAAGAAAAGCAGAGAGAAGTTAGGCTAAACAACAAACTGGTTATGGAGTCCACTTCATTGAATGTAAATGGGCCTGAGAATAACAAATTCAGGACAAACTACAATCCAAAAGGAAATAATAATAACTCGTACAATTCAAACAAGTAAGGGTATCCAACTACCAAGTCTCGATTATTCTGTGACTATTGCAAAAAGCCAGGACACACTAGAGACAATTGTTACAGGATACATGGGTTCCCACATGATTTCATGTTCACTAAGGGGAGAAATACAGCATCTATTGCAAAAGTTCACACAGAATGTGAAGAAGCTGATGGTTGATCTCACAATCAGGAATTTCAGTGCTTGACAAAGGATCAATACAATCAGCTACTCAGTCTATTGGAGAAATTTCCAGTGAGGACCACATGGGAAGGCTCACACAACATAGCATGTGGAGTTTCCAACTTTGCAGGTATTCTAGCTTGTTCTACTTATAAAGAGATTGCTGAAAGTACAATATGTAAATGCTTTAAATCACTTGCTGACTTGTGGATATTAGATAGTGGAGCTTCAAATCATATGACCTATGGAAAATATTTCCTGAAAAATATTAGAACCTTATCTTATCCCTTTCTAGTTACACTAACTAATGGATATAGGGTGAAAGTGACAGAAATTGGAGATGCATTTCTTGGTCCAATGTTAACTCTAATCAGAGTGTTGTATATACCTAGTTTCAAATACAATCTCATCTCTATTCATTCTCTAACAGACTATCTTGATTTCATAGTTAATTTTAGCAAATATCTTTGCATGATGCGGGCCCCTTCAATGAAGAAGCCTTTGGAGATTGGTAAAGCAAGGAGTGATTTGTACTTCTTATGCTCAAAATGTCATAGTAGTCCATCTTCTATCCTTTCTACTTTTTACTCCCATTCTTGTTTTCCTTCATCAGTTGATGTTGTAAATAGAGGAGAGAGTCACAGTCTGCCTTTACACTCATTATAAATTGTAAATAGGTCACCACATTCACTCAACAATGTAAATAACCTTCAGTCAAGAAACAAAACTAACTCTCCCTTTGGTATATATTCTTTTCTGTCATCTATTGCATCTCATGGGAACAATGTTGAACATCTTTGGCATAGTAGACTAGGTCATGTACCTTTTGTGAAAATGAAAAGAATATCTACCATACCAGTTAACTTCTATCCCAAACAACGTTTTCTCTATTCTATCTGCCTCATGGCAAGGCAGCCAAGATTGCCATTTCCCCAGAAAACCTTATCTACCACCAAATTTTTTGAATTACTACACATTAATTTATGGGGTCCTTATCACATAGCTACACATGACAACTAAAAATATTTCCTTACCATGGTTGATAATTTTAGCAGACCAACCTGGACATATCTCTTGAGCAGCAAAACCAACACCCTTCACACCATTAAAGCTCTCATTTCTATGATTGAAAACCAGTTCAATTCTTTTGTTAAAGTTGTTAGAACTGATAATGGGGTGGAATTGGTAAATAGTGAATCCATGTTGTTCTTTCAAGACAAAGGCATAATTCACCAGAATACCTGCCCATACACACCACAACAAAATGGTGTGGTGGAAAGAAAGCACAACTATCTTCTACAAATTGCAAGGGCCCCGCTCCATCAATCCAAATTACCAATAAAATATTGGGATGGGGGGGGGGGGGGGGGTAGGGGTGTATCCTTACTGCCACATACTTGATAAACAGACTACCCTCTACTGTCCTTTTATGATAAATGCCATTTTGAACTTCTCTACAACAGAAAACCAATTTACTCACTTTGGCTGCTTATGTTACACTACTACTTAAGACACACAAAGATAAATTTGAACCAGGGGCTACTCCCCATATTTTGTAGGGTATCCCTTTGGGTAAAAGGATATACAATCTTGGATCTAGCCACAAGGAGGGTACATGTATCTAGAGATGTTCTATTCCATGAAGATGTGTTCCCTTTTGCTATTTCACCTGAACACTCTTCATTTGCTTCTGTCTTGCATATGATAAATTCTAATTCTTCATGTCCAAACACCGTTGTGAATGATCCTGCTAATCATTGTGTTGTTGACATAGATACATCAACTTCTGCCACTAGTAGTCGTATATCTGAGAATATGCAGTCCTCGGTCACAAATACATCACCAAACTATCCAAGTCCTGTAAGCCTACATAACTATGACTCACAATAGAATCCAGATTCAGACAACAGAACACACATTCATAGTCCTATAATTAGAGATCATTCAGAAACACAGGCATCATCCCTTGAGAAAATACATTATATAAGGCCTGACAATAACCAACCTAATCTTATACAATATAGAGGATCATGCAGAACACTCACCACTCCCTCTCACCTTAAAGACTATGTATGCACTCTACCAAACCTACAACCACTCAAATAATGATGTAAACCCTGAACATCAATCAGTTCATTCCACATCCACATCACTCATTGCCCTTTTTACCAACAGTCATCCTTCAATGTTTTAAGCCATGATAGTCAGCAACTGGTAAAGAGTATTTCACATGAGTGTGAACCAAACTCTTATGATGAGGCAGCTATAAATACTGCCTGGAAGGAAACAATCACACAAGAGTTTGAAACTTTATATACTAATCATACTTGGGATTTAGTTAATTTGCATGTAGGAAAGAGAGATATAGGGTACAAGTGGGTGTACAAAATCAAACACAAAGCAAATGGAAGTATGGAAAGATACAAGTCAAGGCTTGTGGTAAAAGGATACACTCAGGAAGCTGGGGTTGATTACACATAAACTTTTTCTCCAGTAGTGAAGATGACTACTGTTCAGACGTTAATCAACATTGCAGTAAAGAAAGGATGGGATGTCTATCAATTGGATGTGAACAATGCTTTCCTCCATGGTTATCTATATGAGGAAGTGTATATTGATGTCCCACAAGGTCTGATGATGGAGGATAAATCACTTGTACACAGACTAAGGAAGTTCTTATATGGACTCAAACAAGCCAGTAGGCAATGATATGACAAACTAACAGAATCTTTGCATTCTAGGGGGTTCATGCACTCATCAAATGACTATTCTTTGTTATACAAGAAACAAGGTGATCAATATGTTTTTATGGCATTATATGTTGATGATGTGATTCTTACTGGGACTGACTTTGAAGAAATCATAGCACTGAAGGCATTTTTGCACAATCAGTTTAAAATAAAAGACTTAGGGAAGTTGCACAACTTCTTCGGATTTGAGATGCTTTATAAAAATGATGGGGTATTGATTTTTCAGAGAAAATTCACCACTGATTCATTGAAAGAATATGACTACTTGGGGTATTCTCATGTTTCCTCTCAACTTGACTCATCAACCAAACTCAAAGCTGAAGAAGGTGCTTTGTTTGCTGATCCATCATATTACAGGAAGCTGATTGGGAAGCTTAACTTCCTGACAAACACAAGATTAGATATTGCCTACAATGTGCAACACTTAAGTCCGTTCATGCAAATACCAAGAGAACCTCATCTCAAGGCTGCTATACATGTCCTTTGATACCTGAAGGCTGATCCTACCTTAGGGATTTTTCTATATAATGATCCTTCCTATGAAGTCACAACCTATTGTGATTCAGATTGGGCTGCATGCCCTGATTCAAGGAGATCTGTGAGTGGATACCTTGTACTCCTAAGAACCAGTCCAATCAGTTGGAAATCAAAGAAGCAAACCACTGTCTCATTGTCCTCTGCAGAAGCAGAATACAGGTCTTTGAGGAAGGTGGTTGGTGAGTTAGTGTGGGTCAAGCGCTTATTGGAAGAACTAACAGTCTTATGTGATGCCCCCATCCCAGTCTTCTATGATAGTCAAGCTGCAGTGCACATAGCTAAGAATCCTGTGTTCCATGAAAGAACAAAACATATAGAAGTAGATTGTCACTTTGAAAGAGACAAGCTGCAAGATGATTTGATTATACTCCTTCATATTTCCACTAATAACTAGCTGGCAGACATCTTGACAAAAGCAGTTACAAGGGTCAAGCATTATGATCGTCTTGGCAAGTTGTCTGTGACTTTATCACCTCCAACTTGATGGGGGTATTGAGATTAATTGAGTGTTATCAATTATAGTGGTATATTTATTTATGTCATGTAGTTGATTAGTTAGTTGTTAGACTTAGGAAGTTATTAGTTGAGTTAGTTACAGGGGTATTTTTATAATTAGCATTTTTACTCTTTTCTTTTTACGTGTACAAAACTTAACTCTACTGAATAGAAGGTGAAGATGTTTTTCCCCAATTTCATTTTGTCCAGAAGCTGCTCTCATGAGAGCTCAAGCTCAACCTCTTCAATTAAGGTCAATTCATCTGTTTGATCTCAATATTTTACTAATTTGTTCTTACTAATATACTCTGTGTTTTAGTTGAATCTATATACATATTTCTAAAAATTCCTTTAGTAAACAAAACCCAAATTAATTGGCTTAAAAATAACAAAAAATAACAGAATCATATATAGATAGATATATAAAACTTCTACTAATCAAGACACAACAAAACTTGTAAATTAGTGCACCTGTGTGTTGTGTTTCTTTTCATATTTTTTTCATTTAAAAAGTACTTATATACATTCTTGTTCCTCCCTTTCCTTTTTATAGGTTTTCTGAAATTATATCAATTTATTTTCTTTCGGCTTTTTCAGTTTGCATGTCTAAACTTAATTTGCTTATTTATGGTTTTTTGATATTAAATTTCATTGGTAATAAACAGGGGAATTAATATTACTATAACAAAAAAAATGGTACTTACAATATAAAGAGCCTCTAGAGTTCTTGACTACCTTCTAGGACGGGTGTCTCAAACTACTAGATCTCTAGACAGACAACAAAAACTAGTTACATAATTTCTGAATCATAACCTGATATCTACGACTACATGCTCTATTTGAATAATTCAACATGCCTTTTGTTTATATAATTTCCCATAGATTGGGAGTGTTGTATTACTTCAAAAATATTACAACACAAGGGTAAAGATTACCCTTTCAAAAAAGGTAGCAAGGTGATAATAAAATCAGATTCACCTGCCACAAACAAAAAATTCTAGCTTACAAAAAAATTGGCCTTGTCATACTTAATTCTAATGCTTGGAATTTGGCTTTTGTCAAAGTAAAATGGGACTTTGGCTGCTTTAGGAAGCTGCTGCCCAGAAAAGAAGAAAGCTTCACTTTGAGCTTTTGATGCAATTTTTTCCAAGCTGTCCGCTAGTTGGTTAGTTTCTCTATAATAATGGAGAATGTCTATATTAGATGGGCGCCTTAATTGTGATATTTTTTCCCTGATCGTAGCCATTTTGTAGTTCCTCTCTGTCTCTCCCATTAGCAAATCGACGAGCATTAACGAGTCCAACTCTAGAGTAAAATCTGTATAGCCCTTCTCAATACACCAGGTAATGACAAAATGTGGTACATATGCCTCCGTTATATTATGGTTGCTGCATCTATAAGGGACCGAGAACGCCATAATAATTTCACCATTGTCTTTTCTTAAAACACCTCCCAATCTAGCACTCCCATCTATCTTGTTGAAGCTTCCATCCTTGTTAAGCTTGAGTCTTCCCGACGATGGTTTTGCCCATTGCACTACCATGAGACTTTGTTTGGGGTGTAACCTTACAACTGTGTCGCATAGCCTGTTCCAAGGCATTTGAAGGTCACACTTTGGATATGCTTTGTGGAGAGCAGCTTTCACATTCTAGATGATTTGTTGCTGTAGTTTATAGAAGTAGAATTTTTTCTGTTCTCCATACTTGTAGGCACAATATTCTTTTCACAGTACCCAACATATAATAATAGGGGTAATATTTTATACCTGTTTATGTAAAGCATTTACAGAACTAGTACTGCACCAATTATTTAAGATATTTCTAATAGGGTGGGGGAGATAGCTAATGCTAAGTTGAGAGCCAAATAGTTTCCAAGCATAACTGGCTGCATGTCTTTCTACAAAAATATGGTGCATATTTTTATAGTTAGGATACAAAAGTTACACCTAGAAACAATTTGTCTCCCAAACCTAGAAATAACTTCATCGAAGGGGAGTTTTCCTTTCTAGAGCCTCCAAACCAGAAACGACATGTTAAAAGAAACACTAAGATTTCATAACTTACCCATGAGGTGTTGTTTAGGTTTAAAGTTTCTTACCAAATGCCAAGCTGTCTTGTTGGAATGTTTGCCATTCTCCGTAAGATCCCAATAGATTTTATCTTTTTTATCTTGGCTTCCAATGTCAATGTTAAGGATATGATTGATCAGATGTTCAGGAAGAACAACATTCAGCTTATTAACATCCCGTCTGCCTTCAGTGATGAATTCATTGACCAAAGTTTTATGACTCTTTCTAGTGTTATTAACTAGACCCGCAAGGTGACCTTTTAAGGTGCAATTATCCCACCAAAAGCTACTAGAACCGAAATTAATATGCCAAATCATATATTTTTCAGCCGTGTTTCTTATTTAAGGACATGTCTCATGGCATGAGAGTTACTAACAACCCATTGTTTAGATACCAAGTGAGATCCTATACAATATTTGCTCCTAACATATGTTGTCCAAAGAGATGATGTAGACCTAATCCTCCACCATCTCTTTATAGCCAACATATCACTGATATCTTCCAACCTACGCACACCAACTCCACCCTCATCATTAGGCACAGAAAGATTTTTCAAGGAGCTCCAGTGATGCCTCTTGTGGTCACTTGAAGTACCCCAAAAGAAATTAGCAAAATATTTTTCAATTAATTTAAAAATAGTTTTGGTGAGGGGGGAGGGGGAGGTAGCAGATAAAGTGTAAATAGGCAGCGGTTGAAGGACACTTTTAATCAACACAGACTTACCACCATAAGACAAGAGTTTGCCCTGCCAACCATTGAGCCTTTTCACAATTTTACTAACTAAAGTGTCAAAATATTTAGCCTTTTTCCTACACACGTAAAGTGGGCAGCCAAGGTAAGTGAGGAAAGTTTTTATCCATAAAGCCAGAACACTTCCTAATTCTATTAATCCTGTTAGCAACAGTCTTAGGTGCAGTGAAGAAAAAACTCTTGTCTCTATTAACCAGTTGACCAGAGTTTTCCTCATAGTTACTAATTTGCTTCAGAACAAGTTTAATAGATTTAGAGTTACCGCTACAGAAAAATAACAATATCATCTGCATAAGCAAGTGATTAACTTTGGGACATTATCATGCATAGAGAAGGAATAAAGTCAGAGTGATTGTACAAGTTATTAAGGGATCTGGAGAGAACTTCAGTCGCTATAATAAACAAGGAGGGAGAGAGGGGATCACCTTGTTTAAGGCCTTGAGATGAGGAGGAAAATCATGCCTAGACCCATTAATAATGATCGAATACCACACATTTGAAATCAAGTTATGAACCATGTATGTCCAATGATTAGAGAACCCAAATTTTCTTAACACAGAGAGTACAAAGGGACAAGACATTCTATCATTGGCTTTGGCCATATCTAGCTTAATGACAACATTCCCATCCTTGTTCTTATTAGAAATTTTGTGAATAATTTCTTGAACTAATAACACATTTTCATTAAATAAGCCTATCCTTCACAAAACCACTTTAATTAGGAGAAACTAATTTATGCAATAAAAGGTTAAGCCTTAAAGAAAGAATTTTTGAAATGATTTTGTTAGAGAAGTTAGACAAACTAATTGGTCTAAAATCGGAAAAACTAGAAGGAGAGTCAATTTTGGGAATCAAAACTAAGTATGAGAGAAGAATTTACTCAGACCTTTTCCTTTGAAGACCTCTATCACAAAAGCAACAACATCTTTTTTGATAATTTTCCAGCAGCTGTGATAGAATTCTCCATTGTATCCATTTGGAACAGCAGTGGTATCAGCACTAAGGCTCATAACAGCATTTTTGATTTCCTCTTCATCAAGCATCTGGCTGAGATTAGCGTTATCATGCTCCGTGATACATTTTGGGATACATTCCAAAATAGAAGGATTGAAATTTGTCTTAGGAAGATTGAATTGTGCCCTGAAGTGTCTGACTGTTGCTTTAGGAATTCTCTCATCCCCAATAATCCAATTACCCTTGTGATTTTTGTTTCTGTTACTTGTTGTTTCCTTCTTTTCCCCCTAAGCATGCAGTGAAAATACCTGGTATTCTTGTCACCATCTTCAAGCTATTTATTCTCGACTTCTATTTAAGGGGGGATTCTTGAATGCTAAGCCATCTAATATATTCCGCGTGAGCCCTATTAACTTCTTCTCTGCTCAATTCAGTATTATCCTCAATGTCTTTATCCTCTAGAAGTTGTAGTTTCTCTTCCCAGTTGTTAACAGCATCATGAATGTCCCCGATGTCTTCCCTAGACCATTGAGTTAACCTTTTACTGAGAGTCTTCAATTAAGTTTGCAAGATCCACAAAGGATTACCCTTAACATTGACACTCCAACTATCCTCGACAATATTAAAAAAACCATGCAGATTGGTCCAAGAGTTGAGGAATCTGAAGTATCTTATACAATTGTGATTAGAAGATAAATTCTTCATAAGAAGAGGTCTATGATCAGATCCGGTTCTTTCCATATGCCAAATAGAGCATCTCTGGAACAGAGTGTCCCACATTTCATTCACAAAAACTCTATCCAATCTCTTCCAAATCCCCTTCCTTGTCTCCTGTTGTTGCACCAGGTGAATTTTGGCCCAGAGTAACCAATATCTGTAACACGACAATTCTCCATACAATTCTGAAAATTGGTGCTTTTGTACATTCTATGAGGTTTACCCCCTAATTTTTTATTTGGATCAAGGATCACATTAAAATTACCCCCGATACACCAAGGATCATTCATGATAGCACTATCGTGTTGCAAAGAGGACTAAAGATCTCTTCTTTCTACAGACATGCACTTAGCATAAATCGCCGTAATAAGAATATCTTGATTGCAAATGTCCTTCTCCAACTTGATAGT